TAGCCCGGGGTCATCACATGTGAGTGCCGCCAGCCCAGAGTCATCACCTATCATGGCCGCTAGCCCAGAGTCATCGCCTATCATGGCCGCTAGCCCAGAGCCCAGCCCACCATCATCCCGCTGCGCGGAGCCAAAGCCTGAGCCCACCGATGACAGAGAGTCCGAGCCCGCCGCAACCGATGAGCCATCGCCGCAAGGAGCGATAGAGCTGAGGATCGCCACGGAGCCGGAGCTGCTTGAGACGTCAGACCAGGTGCGAGAGCCGGCAACTGTGCACGCGCTGATGGATGATGCTAGGGAGTACGAGGGCTTGGAGGAAAGCCCCACCTACTGCATCACCGCTGAGGGTGAGCTGCTGCTGGACTCTGTGGACTTAATTGACTTTGTTTCGGATGTATATGCAGACATGCCCACTCTTTTCCCGCCTTGGACTGAACTATCTGCCTGCCCTGAATAATCTGTCTGCCCTGAACTGTCTGCCTGTGGGACAACGACCACGGAGGTGTTTCCCCTGTCACCGGTGCTCCCGGTGTTGGGAGTGGCCTTGTGGTGTGTGTGGGCAGCACACACCATTCCTAAGCCCCCAGAACACTCTGAATTCCCACCCAGCGTCCCTCTCCAACCACCTCTGCACCAGTCCTCACCATCGCCACCTCTGTCTCCTGGCAGCCCCTCTGCTCACCCTCTGTCCACCATCTGTGCAGTGGGATCACCGCGGGTCTGCCAGTCTCCATCGGCGTCATGGCTGGAAGATCCCTTGTCTCCGCCTCCAGCCTCTGAGTCCCGGACTCCGCCTCGACCCTTCGACCCAGCGGCTTCACCATGGCTCCTAGTTCCCTCCTCTCCGCCGTGGCCCATGAGTCCACCAGCTCCGCCGGGCTCCCTCGTCCCTCTGGCTCCGCCTTGGCCTGTTGTCGACCATCCGCCGTCTCGGGACTCCACTCCACCGGCTACACCTCGTCCCTCCGGCTCTGTCAGGCTTCTCCTTCTCTCCAGCTCCACCTTGGTCCTCTGTCGCTCCGGCTCCACCAAGGCCTTCCGGATTCCCGCCACCGCCTCAGTCACCGGAGCCATCTGCGCCGTCTTGGCCCTCCGGATCCTCCCCGTCGCCCTGGCTCTTCGGCTCTTTGTTTCCGCCTCGGGGCTCCACCACCACCTGATCCACCACCGTCGGTCGGCCCCCTGGAGCCGTCAGCCCTTTCTCCACCATGGCTCCTCCCTCCGTTGGCTCCACCGTGGGCCGCCATCATGGCTGTGGCCTGGGTCCCGCCGAACCTCCACCAGTATTTGTCTGTCTGCCTTCCTGCCAGCCCTTTGCCATCCCCTGTCACCATCCCACATCCACTCCTTTGTCCTCCTCCTAAGTCCCCCTCCGTCCTCCCCCCTCTTTCGTGTATTGTGTGGTTTATAATTAAAAGCATTTATGTGGATTACCTTCATCTTCCTTTGACCTACCGTGACACTAGTAGCTTTGCACATTACATTTATAAATGGCTGCATCTAATCTTATGTTAAAAATAAGGTGGATATTCTTTCATATATGTACAATACTTAATATATAAAAAACTTAACTTAAATAAAAAAAAAATTTACTTGAACAAATTTACTATCAAAACAGACACTGCATCCTTTGCATCTGACATGTTTTCTCACTGACAAAACCCCAATTTGGAAACTCAAGGCTAAAAGAAATTATTTTTCCCAATCGCAATTAGGACTTTGTGGGCAGTGTTGGGGGTAACTCATTACAAAGTAATGCGAGTTACGTAATCAGATTACTTTTTTCAAGTAACTAGTAAAGTAACGCATTACTTTTTTAATTTACAAGAAAATATCTGAGTTACTTTTTCAAAAAAGTAATGCCAGTTACTTTGTTTTCCCATTTATTGACTGACAGCTCTCCTGTCCCCATATTGGGAGAAATCGAGAGTACAGAGCCGTTGTGTGCGCTGTGTGACCATGAGGTTACTATAGTTCTAGACTAAATGTGAATGTGCATTAATTCATCCCACTCACAAAAAAACTGATTTAGTATTCATCAAAATGAATTAAAACAGTGAAATGCGAACTCAGAATATGACGTAAACCTGCAATAATTAAATATGTTAAATAACACAAATGTACCTAATCCCATTTTATTAACCAATATCTTTAGAGAAACTAACAATTGTGCTTTGTTTTTTTATTGCTGAAGAGTGTTTCTTCTCCTGCGTTCTACTGTACAGACATGAATTTACTTTTGCTTCAGCCTGAGGTTTATTCATTACACTTTTTGGTGTGAAAGGGCTTTTATATTTGCTATAAATAGAACTTCTTATATTAAAAACAATCAAGCCCTGCTTATATTTAAAAAGTAACGCAAAAGTAATATAACGCATTACTTTCCATAAAAAGTAACTAAGTAACGTAATTAGTTACTTTTTTTAGGGAGTAATGCAATACTGCAATGCATTACTGTTAAAATTAACTTTCCCCAACACTGTTTGTGGGGACGTTCATGTGCATTCAACTTGTAAATACAATCTTTCCGACATGACTTGAATGCACCATTGGAATGTACATCCTGTCCGAATCCTCTGAAGCGGCTTCTCAGGTTGCCAGGAATCAGGCATTTCTCATGCATATCCCCCAGCCCCTTTTTGCTCTGAAACAAGATGGCTTTAGCAGACCTTCTATCATGTGACCATAATAGCAAGTTACATGCCAATAACAATATGTTATGTTGCCTCTACTGGAGCCTTGAGACAAGGACCTCAATTTTTTTCTAAAAAGGCTGCTATATTTTTTTATATGTAAGATCCATTTACACTGTGTGAGAGATGACTGATTATATTTTTACATAAATATGCAGATTTTATTTTTCCCTATTTATTTCTCTTACGATTTCTTAAAAGCAACATTAATCAGTAATAATATTACATTTTAACATTTAAATAGATTCAATTTTATAACAATGGTTTACATTTCATATACAAAATTTCATATTTAAACATTTTAAGAAAATGTTTTATTAATAAAGTTTACATTAAATACATTTTAAATACATTATATATACAAACATTTCTTGCTCACCAAGGCGGCATTTATTTGATGAAAAATACAGTAGTAAGAAAAAGTAATATAGTCAAATATTGCTACTGCTAATTTAAAATAATTGTCCATTTGAATATATTTGGGATGGCAAAGCTGAATTTTCAATGTCACACGATCCTGCAGAAATCATTCTGATTTGGTGCGCAAAAAAAAAACATTTCTTATTATTATCAGCGTTGAACACAGTTGTGCTGATTAATATTTTTGTGGAAACTGTGGTGCATTTTCGTTCCGGATTCTTTGATGAATAGAAAGTTTATTATAGAACAGAATGTATTTGAAAAAGAAAACATAAATGCCATTACAGTTACTTTTTATCAATTTAATGCACCCTAGCTGAATAAAAATATATCTTTAAAAAATCTTAATAACAATGCTCTTCAGATTCTCTGAAAATGGCACACAGGGAGACTGAGACCTCTATTTCATGTGTTTTATATTGTGTTTGATTTATGCTCCTTTTGGGTGACAAACTTGATTACTTCAGGGATTCAGTGACCACAGCAAATTCTTTTGAAAGTGTGCCAGTGAATCCATTGTGCTAATGGAATACAAGGTCTGTGCGCCTATGGAACACTGATGAGCTGATGAACACTATTATGAGTACAGCAATTCTACACATACCACAGAGTGATGAAAATGGAAGCAGCCATTGTTGAAATATCAAGAGGGGACACATCAGATATTAAAACCTCCATCTTACTTACCGACGGCAAATAACATTAGAGGCAATTATGCAGTGACTCAAATTTAATAATCAGCCAGAGAACGACTGATAAAGCATGAGACCCACTCAAACCCGCCCGGCACATACCCAATTACTTGCTTTGAGAGGAGAATGTCATAGTTCAAGTCTAAGGCTTTTGTTTGACAGGAAAACGACACAGCAAAAGACAAAGGCAGAGGTGTAGTATAAATTAGCAGATGGTGGACTGTTTGTTTCTCCATTACAGAGGTACTAACATCAGTTTTGAGTTGCAACTGTTCAGGAATAACAGTGTAGCATGTTGCTTGGTTACAGTGCCTTGTTTAGGAAGTAGCTTGAGGACTTCGCAATGAGTTTTGCCAGCAACGAATGGGCAGCGCACTCTTCACAATGGAAGCTGTGTATCGCAAATATAATAAATGAATCTCCTTTCACATTCATAGTTCCAAAGAAAAAGCAAAACAGGATTAAAGTCTTTCATTCCAAGAGACTTTTAGAAACGTTGAGGCTTGTAACAGCTGCATTCCATACACTTCAAGGTAAACAAGAAATAAATAAAATATCAGCAGTCTCTTAAATTATATATGAAGAGCACATCCACAATATCCCAGCGAAGTATGAATAAAAAATATGAAATGTTTACACATATTTACATCTATAATTTAGGTTTGTCAGCATGCTTTACTTTAACAATCAGTGCCATCCTTATAATCTCCAGTGCGTTTGTTCGGCAGCAAACAAGCACTTGTGAGAATTCCATGGGATCCTGAATTATAGCATTCACACACATAAACACACACACACACATGTTTACATTTGTGAAAAGTGGGGACATCCCATAGGCGTAATGGTTTTTAAACTGTACAGACCGCATATTCTATTGCCCTACACCAACCCTACCCCTAAACCTACCCCTCACAGGAGACTTTGTGCTATTTCAGATTTTCAATACACTCCATTCTGTGTGATTTATAAATGTTTTGAAAAGTGGGGACATGGGGTAATGTCCTGAAAAGTCACCTTCTCCTTATAATACCTATGTCATACCTTTGTCATTATACAAATTGATGTCCTCATTTGTCACAAAAACGCATACACACGCACACACACGCACACACAGTTTCAGGATGACAGGTTCTTCTTTTCTGGCATTGTTGTATGCTGAAATGTGATTTGCTTGTGGTTAGACTTCTCAGTCTTAAGTGTCCAGAATGAGAGGTCAAACGACGAAGACTCATCTCCTTGAATTGCATTGTGGGATGGCACCGCACTGGATCCTTTGCCGTACCTGTACAACAACCATTAGAAAATGCTCACAGTGAGAAATGGGTCATTTTATTTAAGAAACACCTCACTTTCAATTCATGAGTTGGAGTTTAAATTAAATTGCTCACATTGAACAACAGGATGACAGGAAGAGGAATTTACTGAACTGTAGTTCTTAGAAACTAAACACATTCAATTGTTTGAATTTCATTAGTTCAACACAAGTTGTGCAACAACATATAAATAATTAGATCATTGACTATTTATTTCCATTCATCCCCTGAAATGCAGAATACACTTTTTCCTCAACTTATTTGTATATTCCTCTTATAAATTTTAATTTTGCCATAAAGCACCACAAAATACGCACTGTATTGTTTTTCTAATCTATTCATTATAAAGGTCCAATCAGTCCTAATAAATATAAAATAATGTAATTAAATAATGATGTTAATACTCAAGTGTATATGTTTACATTTATATGTAAATTATGGCATTCTTGAAAAAAGTAAGAAAAAGATTTTGACAAAAATTGCCATTTCAAACTTTAATTATTAATATAAAATCATTTGAAAATTCTATGTTGTCAGTATTATGGAAAATAATTTATTTTTATTTCATTCTTCTTTCATTTGAATTGTAATTCCTTAAATTTCAATTATAATTGTGCATAGTGCATACCTTTTGTTACCTCAATTCAAGTTTAAAATCAGAAACTGAATTATGTACAAGGCTTTTTCAATTCAATTCTGAAAGATGTACACCTCTAGCTCAATGCTGTTGTAGGCTTTTAAGTACGCAAGGTGGCTATATGACTTCCACGAGGTAAGATAAGGCCAGCAAATGGATACACAGCTGACCTTGATGTGATTTTAATGCCAGAAACACAGAAATAACAATAATAGTGTCATTCCACCAATTACTGGCTTAATTTAAGTTATCTGTCACACAGTAAAGGCTATAAAACTCTAAAGCTTAAAATGGACATCCTACATCTAAATAATCACCCATTTCGTTGTATTTCTCTTTCTATATCCTTTTCTTGGCACTCCTAAAATAACTAACTAACATCAAATGCCCTGTTTTCTGCTACACTAAGGAGTGTAGGACCTATCTTTACGCTGTTATCAGTGTATGCCAATGATTATGAATATAAAAGTACACTAAATTCAATTATAACATGAATAACATTGGATGTAGACAGGATGTCATGAAACTGACATATAACCTGAATGCAGGATGCACTTCTATTCAGCACAACATACCTGTATCTTTAAGACAAGAGACTGCTACTATACAAGGCCATCGTAGAGTGACAGAGCTTGTACAATAGAGGGATCTGCCTTTGATCCCTCCTGGAACTCCTGCAGGGTCAGCTTCCCATCAGTATTCTGGGTAAACAAACAACCATTGTTTAGAATCACAACTGTCTGAAATGCTGAATAAAAACAACTACATGTGTTATTTTAAGTTTGTTTGTGGTTATACGCGAATGCATGACACTTTCAACGAATGTGGAACAGACTTTAAGCTTATATCAGTTTACAAACTAGAGGATACTAAAAAAAAAGCAGCCATGAGGATTTTCAATTATGCATGAGGAAAACACTCTCCCACTTTAAAGACGCTTCACATGCCCAGCAGGGGGCAAGTGCTAACAGGCTGATCCATTGAAGAAAAAATCTCAACATTTACATTTAGTCATTTAGCAGATGCTTTTATCCAAAGCAACTAACAAATGAGGACAATGGAAGCAATCAAAATCAACAAAAGAGCAATGATATGCAAGTGCTATAACAAGTCTCAGTAAGCTTAATGCAGTGCACATAGCACATTTTTTTCAAATCATATAATAAATAAAAATAAAACAGATAGAATAGAAAAAGAATAGAGCAAGCTAGTGTTAAAGGCCCTTTTTTGCTTTTGTTAATTGTATAATAAACAAAAAGAAAACAAATAGATAGAATATAAAAAGATTAGAGAAGCAAGTGTTAGTTTTTTTTTTTTTAAGAAAACAAGCTGTTAGTAAATAAATAGAGTGCAAGTCTAAAAGGGGCATGTTTTTAAAATGTTTTTAAATGAATAGAATTACAATAGAGAGTGCTAGAGTTAGAGGGTCAAATAAAGATGGAAGAGATGTGTTTTTAGCCGATTCTTGAAGATGGCTAAGGACTCTGCTGCTGGGATTGATTTGGGCAGGTCATTCCACCAGGAGGGAACATTTAATTTAAAAGTCTGTGAAAGTGATTTTGTGCCTCTTTGAGATGGCACAACAAAGCGACATTCACTAGCAGAACGCAAGCTTCTAGACGGCACATAACTCTGAAGTAATGAATTTAGGTAAAGGGGTGCAGAGCTAGTGGTGGTTTTGTAGGCAAACATTAATGCCTTGAATTTTATGCCAGCAGCTACTGGTAGCCAGTGCAAATTGATGAACAGATGTGTGACATGCATTCTTTTGGGCTCGTTAATGAAAACAGAATTACTCAACAGAGTAGGCAATGCAAATGCTTCTTTCACCTTATGTGGCTCAGTGTAGTACTTGTTTGAAGAAGCAAGTTTGAGTCCTTAAAATAACCCTACTGGTTCCTCATATAATGCAGATCTGAGCTGAGATTGCTACAGTATTGCAAAGCATACCATCTCTATGAACATTCCCAAACAAGTCCTGATCTTGTCTTTCGGGGCTTGAGCTATAAATGAGTGATTTTTCTTGACGGGTTTAGTGATGGTTGCTTGCTAATCATTACTGTTGAGTTTGGACAGCATGAAAAATCCTTAGTCTTTAAGGAATAGTCCACCCACAAATGAAAATTCTGTTATCATTTACTCAACCTCATGTCATTACAAACCTGTATGCATTTCTTTCTTCTGCAGAACCAAGAAAATATTTTGAAGAATGTTGATAACCAAACAGATTCGGTTCCCATTGACTTCCATTGTATTTTTGTCCATAAAATGGAAGTCAAAGAAAAAACTGGAACTGAAACATTGTTTAAAATATCTTCTTTTATGTTCCACAGAAGCATGAATGTCATACAGGTTTGGAATTGTAGTAAGTGATGACAACATTTTCATTTTTTTGTAAACTATTCCTTTAAGCAGTTAGTCTGCTTAAGTGATTTCCACAAATTAAATAAAATAAACAGCCCGCTGCATAATAACACTCAGTTTTGGCTTGGATTATTAACTGGTTCAGTGTGATTGGGGTCGAGAAGAAAGGACATACCCGTACCTTATCCATCATGGCAAAAATACGATCCACTCTCTTCTCCGGCGTGTTTTCTTCTTCTGGAAGGTCCACTGTGTTTCCCTTGAACACACGTTAAAGATGTTAAAGACATCTGAGAGATTTTGCTCATTAAACAAATGCCATATGTTCCAAATGTAATTACAGCTGAAATGAACAGTGACTTACCACCATCTGATAGATGGCATCTACGATATTGAGCATTTCATCACGTGTGATGTAGCCATCGTTATCAAGATCATAAAGCTTGAAGGCCCCTAAAGCGTGTAACAAGAAGTCATGGTGAGTGTGTGCAAAAATGTTATGGTGCTTTCTGTAAACAGGGTACAAAATAGGGCCTGAAAAAAAAAGTATGGTTTCTTTTTCAACAAATGGTCAGTGCAAAGAGGTGCTTAACTTTCAGAAAAATGTAATAGATACTGTTGTATGATTCTAATTGCTAGATACAGCCGAGAAAGTCAAGACAGGTCAAAATCACCCATTTAAGAAGCAATACAGACTGTGTTGTTATTAACTAAAACTAAAATTAAAACTATTAAAAAATGTTTTTGGGAATTAAAATAAAGCTGAAGTCAAATATTAGACAAAAAAATTAGAAATGTTGCCTTGGCAACTAACTGAAATAAAATAAGTTTAAGCTACTTAAAGTTTAAGTAAAGTTTAAGTTTAGTTAACTAAAATAAAATAAAAAAAAACCTAAAATGTACTTAACGTTTACTTAAAATTTTATTAACTAAAGTTAAAATGAACAAATTAATAAAAATAAAAACTGAAATAAAAATAAAATAAAGATAAATATGAATATCAAAAAATACAGCAAAGCACATAACAAATTAATTTTAGTTTGAATTGTTTTAGCAATAAAAATGTAATTGTTACATTAACATTTTTTTTCATCAGAAGTCTTGAGTCTGGATATCTTATTTTTCAACACGGTTTTCTGTGAATGTGTGAGACTTTCAATTCATTAGCCACTGTAGGGAAATGGTGTAAACAAAGTGTAGTAAATGGTCAAACTGTTTGGGCTGCAAACCAGTGTGTTCATAATTAAGATAATACATTAAAATAATATGGTAAGAAATACCAGTTTACAATATCAAGCAGTAAAATGAGCTGTTTTATACAGCTAAAAATAGCTGGACGTGGATGACACCGGAAGTCAAACAAATTAAATTTACAAATGGCCGCACCTGCTCTTACAGGAAAAAAAGGTGGGTAAAATATAATATATATAATTATCTATATAATAATTTTCAAAATAAAAAATGTGGAATTTGTGTCCACTAATGTTTTTTTAATCTGTCAAAACAAATTACATTCAACACAGAAAAAACATCAAAAAAAAAAAAACACCATTGTTGGACTGAGTTTAATTTCTTTTGATTATGAATTAAAAAGTAATGTTAGCGTGCTGACATGAAAGCTTATAAGCACTGAAATGAATGATAGACACAGGATTGGGTGATAAAGGCATGCTTTGTATGAGCCAAATCATTGCACAGTAAATACAGCAGCAAAGACGAGTGACTCTTTCATCTCGCCATCTATGGATTTCTCTTCATGCCAGGACTCCAGTTCGTCCCACCCACACAGCCCTACTTTATCCACTCATCTACAACAAAGAGACAATCCCACGACTCACACAGCAGAGTGCAAACACAGGTCAGTGTCTGGGGTGAAGAGTCAACAGTGAAAGAGGCGTTACCCGACCCGAATATGTAGTCTGTTTAATATCAGCAAGAAAATTGCTTTGGTTGTAATACATTGAGGTATTTTCACATTTAATCAATTTTACAAAACACAGTTGGCCCAAAAGTATTCAGACACTTAAGCCTCACTCAAAAATGTATGAATTTCTTGGTATTCGATAAGAAAATATCCAACCAAGTGACCAAATTTGGAAGAAATAAAATATACTTTACAACCTAAACATTTCACAATACAAAACCTATAGCTGTTTAATTACAATAGATTTATTCTTAAGACAAAAACTATTTGTAAACGTTAAATGTTAGTGGATCATGTGGTTACTTTGACAGGATACCTGCTTGAACATCCCAACGGGACAGTTGATTAAAAGCCAAAAAAGACAGAATTTCCAATACATACGCATTAGGATATAATATACAATATATGCTAAAAATTTCTGATAAAAAAACAAACAAACAAAAAAAAACCTCCAGCATCCTTTAGAGATGCCACTTGGTTTATTTTATTCGATGCTATGAAATACATTTATTTTTAAATGTGACTTAAGTGTCCAAATCTATTTGGAGGCCAGTGTATGTTTTATATAGATAATAAATGAATGTATTAAATTCATTACTGGGATTTAGTTTTTTAACAAGGCTTCCTGTTCTATGAAGCACCCCATGAAGGTACTTCACTGCATCTGTCTTTAACTGATTCTCACTTGAATGGGCTTTTATTAATCAAAAACTTGCTTACAGCGGAGCTTTTCATCCAAGGTCCCACGTGAGGTCACAGACAGGGCCTGAATAAACTCTGAGAACTCAATCCGTCCATCCTGTGAAGATAGATAGATAGATAGATAGATAGATAGATAGATAGATAGATAGATAGATAGATAGATAGATAGATTTTATTAAATATTATTTATTATATATTTAGATTTATAGCCTACTAATACATTTTAACACTAATGAAACCTGTTAAATGTTTTAAAAACTATTGTTCATGATGTCTAATGCACCTTATTGTAAAGTGTTACCCAGAAGCTTTCTGTTGATTGGCTGAGTAAAATGGGCCAGTGGGCAGCTATTCCTGTCCCACCCCCTGCTCTTTCTTGAGGCTACAGGCTGGCACCACCAGCCATTACAAAATGCATTCTGTTGCCAAATATCCAGCAGATACGTTATGACACATTTTATGATTTGTCTACTGAAACCTCTCTAGAGCAAGAGAGGTAAATGAATGCAGTTTCATGTTATTTATTTAGTACAGAGCTTTAAACTCTTCCAAAATACGTCTCAAGGGGTGGAAACGCTCAACCTGGTTGTGCAAACCTTACTTTATTGTGTGAATTTTTATGATTTATGACTAGGCACTGTGTTTTCTGTCATCTTCCCTTCAGATTAGTTAGTTGGTGAGCTTGAGGAACATCTGAAGAGGCATTAACAAAGACAGACAGCATTTAGTTCCTGTGAATAAAATGATCCAATCAAAGCATTGTTCCATTGGTAAGCTTTCACACCCAGGTGATCCTGCCTGATTTGTAAGTGTTTATTTTTGCAGTGTATTATTTCAGACAGAACTGTTCTTGAACTGCAGAGTACAAATAGCGTGTAAAAAAAAACTGTAATTATGCATGTGATGTCAGCAAATAGACTATATACTAAAGGCTCTCTATACACAAGCAAAAACCCCAGCAAGGTTAAAAAAGTCTAAAAACATTTCATTTAAAACAGAGACCTCAAGGCCCTTATAATACCCAAAAAAAAAAAAAAAAAAAACACTGAAATATAAAACTTATACTTAAAGGGG